GAACACATTTAAAATTTTTTGTCCCGCTTAAAATCTCCATGGCTTGACTGTCAATACTAAACTTAGGTTTGTTATTCTGGACAAACAGTCTAATTACAATGAGCATTCAAATGTATCCACTCTCCATAAAGTATCAATCTCCATTTTAGGAGGCAGGTTTGCGCTGAGGAGCCAGATGCTTCCTTCAGGGCTCATGTGCAGTCTTTGGAAAATGTAAACAACAAATCACTTGTCCGCTGGTCATGCCTGGGCCTCCTCGAGAAGAATTAAGGAGATGCACTCAGTGGAACAATGTGATCAGAATAGCAATACAAGCCATGGGTGTTGCTGTATGAAATATTGATGAAGATGCGCTTTGTTGTACCACTGAGAATGTTTTTGTCTCTGCATTTGACCCATCACTCAATGCCAAATTTGGAAATATGTTTAAAGATGGGCTCTCTTAAATTGGGATTTTCTAGAGTCTGAATAATAAAGTAAATTAAAGCTGCTTGTGGCGATGATGGTCTTTGCTGGTCAAGCCAACAGATCCTCCACTAGAAAAATTATACAGTGCACCTTTAAATGTGAGCTGTGAGAAATGCCCCATGTCCATAATATGTTTATGCTTGTAGTCATGCTTAGAATTTAATCCCCAAATTTGGTATAAATCCACTTTTCATTTCCTTTATAGTATATTATGTTCAGGTTGAGATCACACATTAGTGATTCAAATTTCAGCACAACTGGACTAAACATGTGTGTGCACTGAAAAAACGGCCCGAGAGGGGTTCATCAAATTGCAAAAACAAATTTGACAACAATAACCTGACTTTTTTACGTTTCTCTGTCCAGCATGTTTAAATCTTACAAAGGTCGCTTGATTGTGGCCGATGTGAGACCTGCAGGTTTTAATCAGGTTGAGGAAACATGACTTTATTCTAATCTCTGGTGAGGCTCCTCCCTCTGGAATTCTCCTCCTCAAAACATTTGGAGGAAAAATTCAAATATAACAGGACACAGGACAGATACAGGAGCAGAGGACACACAGTGTGGAGCAGGAGGATTATGAGAGCTGATCTGGAGACTTTTTAAAGATTTTATTATGTGCTTCTACGGCCTAGAATGTCGTCATTGTTAAAACATGTTTGTGGTGTTTTATTTGAAATTAGAGTTAATGTAAGGACTCCTTGAAACAAATTGTATTTGATTGTCCATCTACAAAACTGTGACAGTTGTACTCAGATTTAAATGTGTTGCTTCCAGAGTAAAATAAAAAAAAAAATTCTTTGGAAGAGTCTTTGCGCCCCTGTTGACCAACAGTGGAAAACGCCCCATGCCTGTAATATAATTTTTTGCTCGTAGTCATGCAAAGATTTTAATCCTCAAATTTGGTACAAATCCAATAATGCTGATGTTTCTATAGCTATGGTAGGAGCGTGATAGTGTTATAATCGCTTAGGTTAAGACTGGGATCACGCAGTGGTGATTTGAATTTAAGCTCTCTAAACCAATGCCTGTGGCCGTGAGAAGAAAATTAAGGTGTTTTTCGCCGGCATGCTAGAGGCAATCCTTAAGGAATATCCCCCCCATAAAACTGATAATTTTACCCTAACAGGTGGATAATGATGCATTTTTACTGCTTTATTTTTGGCTCATAACTTCTCAGCACACTGGTGAACACACACACACAAACTCTCTCTACGTCAAGCTCTATGTCTTTCTCAACCAAGCTCTGGTACCTCTACACATCAGAGGATGATGCCGAGCACTACGGTGAGGGCTTCGACCTGGAGGCTCTGCTCTGCCCTACACCAACAGGAAGCGATCAAGAAGCACGGGAGACCCAACTGGTGTCTCCCAACATCTAGGTGCCCTCAAACCCAGAGGACAGAAGTCTGGTCCAAGACCTTCCACCCCTGGAAGAGAGCGCTCTGGTCAGGACGCTCCATGAAGAGATGGAGTGAGCAAAGCCCAAACTTGCAGATCCAGTCCAAATAAGCAACTCTTTGGACCACAAGCTTAAATCTCAGGAAAGAACCGACCAAGAAAAAGACTTGGAGTTTGAAAAAAACTCAATAATTCTCTCCACAAGAAAGATGAGCAACTGCAAGACCGGATTAATGGCCATAAGGAGATCTGATACCTGTACAACTCTGCAGTACGGGAAAATGTGCAGCTGAAGCAAGAGCTTTCGAACTCCAAAAAAGTCAGGAATAAGACTAACGATTTGGAGATGGTTCATTTGCTCCACTGACCACCACCTCATTTAATATATAAATCATGACAGTGTTTTCAATGACCTTGGCTGGTTCCATAATGCAAAACAGAAAAACCCTCCTGTACAGAGCTTCTTGTTTTTATTTTCTGATCAATGTTATAATGTTGTATCCTCATTAATCCTCATCCTCATTTTGCGTAGGAACTTTAATATTGTGTTGTTTTTTGGATAATATGCATTTTCTTGTTAGAAGAGGATATATTCGACTTCTTTTAAGGTTATAGGTCTTGCAAAATTCTTCTCTATGTATATGGTTTTAACTCTTCGGTGTAAACATTTATTTTTTTCTGAAAAATTGATCAATGCACTTAAACTTTTTTCTCCCTACATTCTCTTGTGAAATTGTCTGGTTTTGCAGTTTGGGTTTTTGTATTGTAAACCAACAAATGTAATAAAAAAATAGGACAGTAAAAATCAGGGCTTATTATATGCTGTTTAAAACGTAATCAATTACCTGTTTATTTCTGAATTTATAGCATCTAAAACTCAAGTACTTCATAAAAGAAAGGTAGTTTAACTAAATATAATACACACCTGGATTATAGTGACCATCTCTGGTATTTTGCTTGTTCTTTAAGACTGAACAAAGTGTCTCTTATTGAGTATAGGGTAACTATGTCCACGTATGTACACAGTCTATGGTCTGAGAATATGTGGACCTTGCACAAGTTTGCACAAATATAATTAAATTGCATTGTCTTAATCCATTATTGATTCTCCTCAAGGTGTCTCTAGTCACCGTAAAGATTTGATCTTATCAGTTTATTCACTCTAATGAGCTTTATCCCAAACAGTTGTGCCTTCCTTGACAATGACAACCTCAAATGCACTTGGTAACAGATGGGACAGAAGCACAGCCATTATTTGAAGATCACTCTTTTGTCACTCCGGGGAATCAGAGACTGCCACTAATCAAGCCATAACTGCTTTCTACATAATTTAAAAGTGCTGTTGTAATTTGTCATATCTGAAAGGGTTCGGCAATACATCTTTGCTGGAGTGATATATGAGTTTTATTAATGTGTCCTTAATGAAAAATTGGACCTACTGAAGCCATGGAGTGTTGGTTCCTCTGACCGGGAGAACAATTTGGGGGTTAACTTTGAAAATGACTCCAGACTCTTTAGCATAATGAGGGTTTTCATTTGCAATGTACGAAAATGAGGCAAAATATTAAAGCTACAGCAAGCAAATGTCCAGGCACTGCAACTTTTAATCTAAGATACAAGTTGCAAATGAGCCTTTTGTCATGTCAATGTCAGCATTTATTAAAAACGATTTTCAGGGGTTTTGACGTTGTAGAAGAATTTTTGTAGGTGCTGGTATTTTTTTTGGTACGAACACCTTTTGATGCTCTTAATTAGGGCTGTCATGATTAGGGCTGTGCAAAAATATCGAAATACCAATCGTTGAATGTGATGATACAGTATCGATATCGTAAGCTGCTAAGAATATTATTTGGTATATTTTACGAATTTCTTTTGTTACAGTGTCTCAGTTTTGTTCCTTTAAATTAGTTTATCCAACACATTTGACATTTTCACTGTTTTGAGGTAAAATTATATATATAATTATATTAACTTTGCACAATAAGTGGTTCAACAAAAACTTTCAGTATCACAGCCATGATGTAGCCATTATTTTTTTATTGGGACATATCGAATCGATTTGAAATATATCGTATCGAACCGAACGTGCACTGTATTGAGATATGTAATGTATCGTGGCCTATGTATTGACTTATGTATTGGCAACTTCTTAATGATACTCAGCCCTAATCATGATAGCAAATATTGAAGTGCAATATTGCTGAAGTAAATACAGAAAATAAACCATAATACTGAAACTAATTCATACCACTGATATAAAACTCAAGAGCAGATTTAAACTACAAAAACAATTCTAAATCTGCAATATGGTAAAAAAAAAAAAAAAAAGATGAGTTGCAATACGTAAACAGCGAAATGAAACACTTTAGTATTTAGTTTGATTCTGTTATGAGTCAGAAGTTATTAAGTCAAGCTTTCAGAGTTTAAATCTCAACAGACCAGTTCACAAGTACACTTTATTTCATTCATTCTCAGACCTAGGCATTAACAAACTTTATTCTTCGAGAAATACCTTGTCTTGAATTTCTCGCTTGAATAGTTCCAAAAATAGTAAATAGAATTGTAAGTGTGAAAACCCCCAATACTACAGGTCCTGTGGGAATACACCATAAGAGTCAAGTCTCAATGCTCATTTTTTCTCACTGAGGATTCTGAGCCGTCAATCATAACCTGCAAATCAGCAGAGCCCTTACTACTGTATCTGGGGACTCATCAAATCTGGCAGAGGGGAGGCACAGAGAAAACACCACTGGAGCCACTGGCAATTAAAGTGTAGCTGCACTGTGGGGAAAGGCACCGGAGGTCACAATAAGGTCAACAAAAACCCAATTACTGGGGTGTCATACATTGTCAGATAAATTACTTTATAGGACCTATTTTCATGAGTGCTAAAAGTAGAGCAGTAGTCATGTTCCTGGAGCTAAAATCTACTTTAAAACAGATATATAAAATTCTAGTGAACTATTTGTGCCAGTCAAATTTGTTGCCATATCCTGTCAGCAATGTTTTGGAGATAATAAGGATAATTTGATATGGTGCACCAAGAAAGGAGAAAGTCAAACTGGGTAGTGCCACAAGTGAATTCCAAAGAACCCCAAAATAGAAGTTCCAGAAAAAGAAGCTTGACACGGTTTACAAACATGTGTTTTATATTGGGACAAACTAGAGAATGGAAAACAGTCCCTTAACAATATAAACCATTTCAAGTTCAAACCATGCAACTGTGTTCAACTCGCTTTGTACAAAATGGTTGGAATAAAAGTTATAAAAATAAACCATTTACAATACAAAACATATATACAAAACAGTGGCAATAATTTGGCTAGCTGCTTAGTAATTATTTTGATTGTATATTTTTAAAAACTGAAAATTCACAGTGATAAATCAGTTCTAAAAGTCCATCGGAGGGAAAACAGTTGCTACACAGTAGTTTCGTGTTTCCATAGGCCTGTCTTAATGCTGGCTGTATTCTCAGTGTTTATCAAAGGCACTGCTTGGCCGCTGTCTTTGAGGGTACCATTCTGAGTGACCAGATTCAGCCCGTACGACTTGGGTTGGCTCTCGAGTTCTGTGCTATTGCTCTGCTTCCCAGTAGTCGAGTCCTTACTGGAGCTAGACACAACAGCCTCCACAGTTTTTATGGAGCCGTTGGACAGAGAATTCCCCCCTCCCTTATCGGAGTAGCGTGAGCGGCGAGGGAGGCTGGCACTGTCGCTACTGTCCTGCTGCATGTGGCGCTCCCTGTACGCCATGTACGCCGCTCGCCGGTGGTTACGGGCAGCCATGTCATAATAGTGTCTCTTGTTTGGGACGCTCTGTACGCTGCCCTCGACGCTGGTGGGCACGTCGTAGGCATACTCCCTCAGCACTGTTAGCCGACTCGCCCTATGTGCACGTGCACGGTTTTTGTGATGCCTGCTCGAGTGTCCGTTTGTGGGCGGGGTCGGACTGTTGATGTTGTTCATTGGCTGAAATTGCACTTCAACTGGCGATACATGCATGTTAATTTTAATCTCATTGTCTATGGAGTGCTCAGTGAGGCTGTTGTCCAAAATGGCTGCTCCATTTGCAGCTACTGGAGGGGATGCTATCTTACACTGCACTGCTTCTGCATGTAGATTAGTTAGCTTGCTCCCCTGTCCAGAGTTGCGCATACTGGGAGCAGTTTTGTTTGTATGGGATGAGTCAGCGCTGCTATGCCCACATTTTACAGACTCCCCATCAGCTTTGCTCACAGCTCCCCCTGTTGCAGATGCAGTTTCACCTGGCGTGGATAAAAGAGCGTCCTCTTGCGCAGAATAAGCCCGTCTCCCGGAACAACAAGCCTGAGACCAGTAGCGCCTCATGTCCTGCCGGTTGACACAGTGGTGGGCGATCATAAAGGCCCCTAACGCCAACGCAGCCACCCCATACAAACATGTGAAGGCCAAGTCAAAAGGGTGATCCTGGGAGATAGCAAGTGCTCCGAAAACCCAAAGAGCGCTGTATAACCCCAGCGCTCCAGCCGTGCCCAATAACTGTACCGCAAAGGTGTACTCGTTCTCCAGGGAAGACATGGGCACAGAGTGAGGAGGGTGCCCAGCGGAGGGTGAGCCGTCGTGGGGCTGGAGCTGGAGCGTGAGGGGCTGCGTGGTGGGGCTTCCGTCCGGGTTGGAGTCGGCGTGGATGGCCTCCAGGTGCTGCTGCTCCTCCGTCAGCTCCTTGAACTCGTAACGTCGCTCGGGGTGACGGCGCAGCTGCAGCAGGATGCTCAGGAAGTACATGCAGTCCACAAAGACAATGAACCCAACCGGACCGTAGAAAGCACCAATGCTCGGCTCCCAGGCCATCCAGCAACTACAAGAAACATATTTAGAACAGAAAGTTTTACAATTTGATACTGAATTGTAATCCTGATTTAATAACACACATTTCGGATACAAAGATACAAAGATAACAATTTTATTACATAGATAGACGTTCTGTCATCATCTTAAAGTTAACATGGCCTTTTGTAATGACTATTTATAGTTAGCATAATCCTTGAAAAAATAAAAATTTACCACACAGATATACCATATTGGAATTCTATCATTGTTTAATAGTGTTAGGCATTATAAGTACCTTTTACTTCAGCCTAAACCCTTTTGGTCATGATCTATGCCAGGATAGTAGTCTATGTTTTGTTTTGTTTTGTTTTGTAGTGCTGCAAAATGACAAAATAAACTACTAAATAACTACTAAATCCCATTCTCCCTATTAACAATTGTATAAAATTGTATCCAAATGACAGTCCCAGATTTAGTCAGCAGTGCAAAAGAATCTGAACAGGTGCCACTTGTGATGTATCCCTTTAGGTAAGATTTTTACACTATCAATGTTTTATATTCTTATTTACTGGGCCTGCCAAGCAAATTCTGTCAGACTTCATGTGATAATGCAGTTTGTCACTAACCCAGTCTAAATAACAATGACATTCTACTTACTAAGGTGCATTTGTCCTGCTCCCATAGTTCTTGATGTTGGCTGCCGCAGTGATTCCACAGACGATGATTGGAATCCCTCCCCCAATGAGGTAAAACCTTCAGAGAAATATAAAACATTGTAACACTGTGGTGGCATGGTGCTCTACACTGACATCTTGTGGAACTAAAATCTTAACACAAGACAATAATGTTATGGCATGTAGTAGAAAAAAAAAATACACCAAACAGTGTATGATCTTTATATCACGGCCTATTTAAATTAATCTTAAATTCCTAATATTTCTGAGGGAGAAAACATTTCAGGTTTGTGCTGCAACGTTTCACTAAAATAATGTATCTGAAAGCTCTTCTATAGCATAGGAATATTGAATAGTACCGTAATTAGTGTAAATTGAGCTGCAGTGACATACCTCAGCATTGGTCTTGGAGGAGGTGGGGGCTCGTCCAGCTCTTCGTAGCGCTTTGCTTTGCGAGTCACCTGTTTGTAGATGTTACGTGCAGTCACTCCCACCCAGAGAGCTGTCGCCAGGGTTGAATAGTGAAGCAAGATCCCAACCTAGAAAAAGATTGTATTATTAAAATAACTGTTAATGTACAGTAAATGCAATAACAAACAAATTAAATTATTTGGTCTTCATATTTATTCAATTTACTGTAAGAATGTTGGGTTATTCTAATTAGTAATACATCCCAGCAGAGCAGCATTGCCTCAAACCATGAAAGCAACCCAAAATATTGGTCCATGAAACTTTAGCCAAATATCTGAAGTTTCACGAGTGAGCTTACCCAGAGGCAACTCCAAAAACTTTTCCTTCCACATCTCACTTCATCTCTCAGCTGAACTTTAGTGCTAAGGGCATGATACTCACCGCTTGACAGACACTTGCGTTGGCCGTCTGGTTGATGCCTCCTATAAAGACGCCGCAGGTGAGAGCAATGTGCAGGCAGAGGTTCACCAGCATGTGCCAAGTCTTTTTGCTCACGCGAACTGACCTGGAGAAATAAATTACATTCAACTGTTTAGAAAGGAAAACGATCCCAAATAAATCAGGACTCAAATGGACCAAAATTCAGCAACTAGAGGAAGGAAAGGTCATGTCTCTTACTTGTGATGGTAGATGTAGCTGATTATAATGGTAAGCAGGCATAGCAGGAGAATGACCGATGTGGCATAGCTGACTGGGTGCAGCTGGATGCTTGGAGTGGAATAATCCATCTTGTTAAGGTCCTGGAAAAAAACGTTGAATGGTTAAGCGTGTGATTTTGAGACTTTTCCAGAAATGTCAATTAAGCAACAGTAAAGCTTCAGAGAACATTAGGCCAGAATTATACTGGAACTAACCAGGGATGTGGGGAAAAAAGGAAAAGGCAGGAAAACAAAAAGCTAAAAATGTATCTTAAATGTAAATGACTATTTTCAATCAATCAATCATTCAGCAACTTTATTAATCAATTCAGTTCACACATCTCTGGTCCTGCACAATCCATAAATAAATAAAATAAAAAAGAAAATTTAATACATACAACACACACCATGCATTCAAACCCCAATGCATCACGGACACAACAGCAAATTTACTTTCCATTTAAAAGCTTTATGGTAGAAGGAATAAAAGATTTAGCCTAGCGGTTGGTCTTTAGTTGTGGGGTGACATATCGTCTCCCAGAGGGCATTTGCACAAACTGTGAGCGCAGTATATAGTTATGGCCTTAGTTTTTTCGAGCACTTTATGTCTCCACGCAGAGGCCAAATCCTCCATCTGAACATTACTGATTGTCTGTTTAAGCTAAAAAACATTACTTTTTAATTCAAAGTTTGATTTAATAAAAAAATTAACCCAGATTCAAAGTAGAAATAGGCAGCTGTCACCCTTTGACTGATTTTGCATGAATGTACTTATAAACTTGAACTGTCCATGATGCCAGAGATAAAAGTTACCATTAGAAGGCCGTAGTTGCCAAGTGAGTTGCAGGATATGGTGGTAAAGTTGTCGTGGTGACCCAGTATTCTGCAGCCTTCGCTCTGCCAGCCGCCCTGGCCTCCTCCCAGACTGTAGTTCCATTGTGCAGAGACCGGATCTGATCCACGGGCAAGACGCCTCAGGGTGATGTTCACAGGAGTACGCAAATTACGAAGTGACACGCCATCTGGAAGCAAGCAGAGGAAAAAAATGTATAAAGTACTGTGTAGAGGAAAGAACGAACAAGAAATAGCAATTTTATTGCAGTTATTAAAATGTCTTGAATATGAATCTTGTTTTTAATAAACAGTTTGTCAGATGTTTCAGTTTCAGCTTTTGTATCATTAAGAACAAAAATATCTGTCACTAGAAAAAGAAAATTGCACTATATTACACACACAACTTCTACATTTTATTTTTCCCACTGTATTGTAACAGTACCTGTCCTACATTCAATTGTATTATAATAATTATTTGCAAACCCTCAGAAAGAGCTGTGTGCATCACTATAAGACGCTTTGAGATTAGAAGTGACTGGCTGTGCGTTGGTAATCCACACTGCTTCACTTCACCATCTGAAAAAGTTGCTCTAAAATTGTGCGTGTGCCTGAAAAAAGTCCTGCAAGCGAAAACTTACGAGGCACCATAGGGTTTGTGAGTGCAAGGAAGATGCATTTAAATACCTACTTCTTCCTTTCACGGTTTGAAAATCTTGTATGTCAACTTTAATACCTCAAATAACAACATTTAGAGTTTTGAGAAGATCACTTTTAGTTTGTATATTAAATGGGATTCATTATTCTGGGAAAAAATTCTATAATGACATACAGAACTACACAGAAGAAAGAAACTGAAGAAAAACTAAATGGCTCACCAATCATGGCCATGATGACAGGAGTGGTCACAGTCCTCCTCTTCCCGCTGTCAGCGAGTTGGGATGAGTTTCCAGTGGATGGGAAGAATTTGCCGTTTCGGAAACCCAGAAGATACAGCTTATATACTGTGTCCTCCGGCTGCACTGGGGGAGCGGCCTGAGCAAGAAGGGACTGGGGAAGCTGTAGTGAAGCTTCTATAACGGTGTTCTGTGAAACATTAAAAGGAGACATGTTATGTAAAATCAACTTTTATGAGCTTTCAACAATATTATACTGGTGAACCCTCATTATGAGCTTTCCTAGAGATATATTTCGAATTATTCTTGCATTTCTCTCACCTTGTAGAGGATGCTGGAGAATGAGCTGGTGGTGTTGCATTTGAAGGTGAGGTGGCGGTCCTGGCCGGGGGTGCGTTCTGGGCTTGGCTTTTGGAACAACATGCAGGTCATACCATTCCACTCATTCAGCCTGACTGCGTGAGCCTCCATAGCTATATTTGGAGAGGTCTGGGGAAAAAAAAAAGAGTGAATATTTAATTCTATGTGGTCAAATAAAAGTCTATGAATTCATCTTTGACTAGTTGATATGGATCTAACAATAACTGAAATATCGTGATATCATATTGTCAAAAGTCTCACAATAATATCAGAGGCCCTCACAATATATCAAATTACAAGGCTTTTTGCTTAAATGAACAGTTTTTTAATAGTCTTTCTTATTCTGTAAAGCACTTTGAATCACTTTGTGTATGAATTGTGCAATACAAATAAACTTGCCTTGCCTTGCCATGGTGCAGCAATAGCTAAAAACCAGAGGGAACTACATAGACCATGATCCTTTGGTGATGTCAGTTCAGACTACATGATGAAATAACTGTTATTAAGCAGTTATTAAAGTTATTAAGATCTTAAAATCTTAATTCTTCATATTATGACAGTACCAAAGGCTTTTAAAGGATTTTCCAAAGGCTTTTAAAAGGAAAGATGGCAAATTCACAGTTTTGTTAGTCTCCACAAATAATCGCAATAAATATCGAACTGTGAGATGCATATTGTGAAAATATCGTATTGAGAGATTTTGGTATCGTTACATCCCTACTAGTTTTAAGATTTCTGGAAGAAAAATGATTAATGAAGTGATAATAAGCAATATTTTTCATTTAGTTTTTACAGACAGAAATACAAAGAAACATAGCCTCTCACAAAAAAAAAAAATCTACAATAGCCACACCACAGTACTGAAGCCATTTAAACTTTTATAGATTTTTGAATTATAACAGGTCATAAGTTTTAAAAAAAGATCATCGGTTTCTTACGAGAGAGAAAGCTTGAGCTGTAGCCAGGCGGTATACTGCAATCTTCTGGATGCAGGTGATGATACGGGAGCAGGCCTGGGCATCACGCTGAGCCATCCACAGCACCTTCTCATCAGCCAGCATCAGGTTACTGGCCATATTCAACATCACCTCTCCCAGCTAGAGAGTGGAAAAGAGAGACATAGGATTTATCACTGGGAAGATATGTTTGCAGACTACGGAGAACAAAGAACTAAAACTAAATTGCATTATAATGTGAAATCATAAAGTTTTCAAACCACCCCATAAGTTTTCAATTTTATTATGGCGTCACTGCATACTAAATTGAGTAAGATCCGCAAAGTTCCCAAAATGCCCAAACAATAGACAAATAGAAACACAATATTGGAAAGTATTCAAACTCAAAACACAAACTCTCAGATTTCTTAGATGTTAATGACAAAGTACTTACATCTTTGAATTTCTCTACAAACTTTCCAATCTTTTCTATCATCTCAGCTACAAAGATGATGTCCATCTTGTCTGAAAAGTTGGCGGCATCCACTGTGCAGACCAGGAGGCGACGAGCACTTGGGACCACAGTGCTTTCATTGAGAGGAATCTACAGTAAAAAAACACAATTAGATGAAAATGTATGTATTCTTCCTTTTCATGCGAGCTGATGTAGTTTTATCACACACCTGGTTGATGACATATAGAAATCTTGTGACATCTTTCTGAAACTGACATCGGGAGTAGTCCTCCTCTGTCCACTGTCCTTCTCTGTTGCAGTAACGCCAGGCTCGCTGGTCCTCTGAGCTGCTGTAAGAAGCTGAGGACAGTCTGCTACATGGGAGATACGCTCGGATCCCAGCTAGAGTCCGAGGCCACCTAAAACAAAGCATTTAAAGAACACTTAGAAGCATGAAATCTTTGCACTAGTACTGTGCAATTACATGTTTTAACCACAAGGGGGTAGTAGTTACCAAGGAGATACATAGACATACACTACATTGCAAGCAAAAAGTTTTGCTTTGATTAGAACAAAACAGGAGTATATTATTGACTTACCTAAAGTCCCCCTTGTTGTTGGAGACGCGTTCAGGAGCGCAGTATTTAGCTGTACTTTCTAAAACCACTATATGCACAGTCCTGGTGGTGTTGCCTCTGCTTGTCCAAACTCGACACTCCCAGTTCCCAGTGAAACCAAGCTGGATGTTTGAAATGGTCAAGGCACTGGTGGAGGGAAAAAAAAAACATCAATTAATCAAATGCGATTCAGTAGGGCTGCAATTAACGACTATTTTGGCAATGATTAGCCTAGAGATTATTCTTCCTATTTGAACCAGGTGAAGCTGAAGTGGTGATGTTTGAGGATATCCTGATGGAGTTTATTTACAGACTAAATCATTTTTTATGTAATCAATTTTGATGTTAACGTTTCTCAGAAAATTGCATGTCTTGAAGTCCACATAGTAATCAAATATCATAATAATCAGAATAATTGCTAAATTAGTTAATGATTATTTAAATTTAATTGATTAGTTGTGAATAATCGATTAATTTGTTTCATCTTAAATCTGTTTTGTCATCCTGTCTTTATACTAAGTTATGGATAACTTTGAAATTGAAGACTTTAAATATCTAAAAACAGAAATAACATCTTGAAAAAGTTAGGTGAAAAGCAGAATGATTTGAGCATGATGTTTTCAATCTTTCAGTTTAGTTGTTTATGTTATTTGATCGGACATTTCTAAAAATGTTATTGTTATTACTGCCATTACAATTTAAAAATGTGCAGTAACTTCATAGTTATGGGTTTTTCATTGAACTTGATCAGACCTTGCAATGAGGGAGCAGTTCTGGACCATGCGTTTCTCGATAAAGATGCCCTGGGCGGCGTCCGGTTTGACCATGCGCCCGTTCTGGTACCACAGCACCTGCATGTCCTCGGCCACAAACGAGGCCTGGCACTGGAACGGCAGACTGTCCCCCTGGAAAACCACCTGCCGCTGGGACGGGGTCAGCTGGAAGGAGGGCAGCTCGAGAGGCGCATCTGAGGAGAGGACAAGGAATGTAGTGGTCACTATATTTGGACATGTGATTAAAGCAGCTATGTGACACAGTGGAATGGCTGCTGTGCAAGGTATCTCCATTTTGGAGACGAGATGGAAAGTGACTCTGGGTTTGGAAAAAGTACTGTAATAGCTGCTGGTGGTAGTGGTAGTGGTAGTAGTAGTAGTAGTAGTAGTAGTAGTAGTAGTAGTAGTGATGTCACAATACTAAAATTTAAAACTCTATTTTGATACTAAGGAATGGAGTTGATACTCAATATAGATTCTGATACCATGATGATTAAAAAAAAATAAAAAAATCACACTTTACATATAATATATGAGGCGATTTTTAACATTACATTATAGCACTTTCTTTTATCATGTGGACTTTTATCTATAGTATGTAATTCCTTAGTTGTCCTGGTATGTTTCATGTATCATAGTGGTCCATGGGCATGTTTATAACCTTGTTCTAGTCTATGTGGTCTTTCTATTACTTATTTTGACACAGCTCAAGATCATTCATTTCTATACTCATAAAAGGTATAGGTATCTTCACATCACTGGTGCCAGGCTACTACAGTGAACATAGAAAGAAGACAAAGCCTGCACACTTACTCCCAAACTGCTTTTAATAAATGATTTCAACGACCAGTGGATCTTCACCCGTTGAAGATCCACTGATTGAAACGTTCATTAAAAGCAGTTTGGGAGTAAGTGCGCAGACTTTGTCTCACTTTCTAAAGTTAATCTCTATCCTTTAAATTAGACTTTTTAGTATTAATACCTGCTCAAATGACTATCTAGTTTTGATACTAATTTTAGCATTGATCTTTGGTTTGCCATGTCCTTTGAGCATGAGCCAGTTCACAATAGTCGCTCTGTTTTCCCATTGTGAAATCAGCTTGAGAATCAAAATGCACAAATGCACACACGTGCATGCCCTACAATGCACTTACACGCAGAAAAAGAGTAAAACTACATTACAATAGTTATTAGTTGTAAATGAAACATGTCCAGACAAAATATTTTTACTAAACATTTCTATCTTGCTTTTTTGTAGACAGCGAAACAACTTAAAAACGGTTTGTGCATTCGAGGTCCATTTATCTCGCCTCTATTCCTGCTGTGTGCATTTCATAATCCCGTGGTGTGATGAGTGCCAGGCTGATAAGACGTGAGCAAGTAAAAACACACGACTGCTCTGGCCCTTCTCCTTATCTCTCATGTCACTGCACAAGCCCCTGTTCCCCAAACACAACACACACTGATACCAGCAGGAAAATTAAAGAGACAGGACTGGCTATAACAACACTATCTGTGTCATAGCTAAACGGTGCCATACTTTAGCCTGTCAGAACAGCTCAAACTGAACTAAGCGGCAACTTTAGACCTACTTAAAGTTAAGACATTTCCAACTTGTATTCACAACCTTGATGAAAGTTTTAATAGTGTAGACAATACAAAAGCTGTACTGCCTCTTGTTTACTCCACATAGGTACTTTTTAGGGATGTAACAATAACTAAAATATTGTGATATCGTATCGTCAAAAGTCTCACAATAATACCATGGGCTCTCACAATATATCGAATTAGAAAATCCTTTGCTTAAATGCATGGTTTAATAGTACCAATAGCTAATAAACATCGGTAACTACATATCCCATGATTCATTTCAGCGCAGACAACATGAAGAAATATGTTTTTACTTGAATTCTTCGGATTATGACAGTAATAATTCACATCAAAATCTTGTCAGGGTGTTTTAAAAGAAAAAGTGTCTTATGAACAATTGTATCGGCCTCTCCAAAATATCGCAGTAAATATCGTACCGTGAGATGTATATCGTGATAATATCGTACAGAGAGATTTGGATATCGTTACATCCCTACTACTTTTTAGCCTGATAATACTGTATGTACTTTTGTGAATTTATGAAACTATATTTTGTAACATGAAAGGTGCACTGTGCTTTTCACCTGGATTTGTAATTATTTTGCCTTGAATGTTCCACAGTATGGCATTAAGCTCGTCTATTTTACATTTATTCCATTACAGATGTTTTCAGACACCTGCCCAAAAATGTGACCTGTATCGAAGACTAGTTTAATTTCTGTTTTTATCTTCATGGAGATAGATGAGTTTAATGCTTCCAAGGAGACAAGCAGCTGGGGAACCTTCCAGAAGAAAAGTTACACAGTGCACCTTTAAGTCCAAAAACACAATATCACCATGTATGTGAGACATTTTGGTATGTCTTTGTCTTATGTCCTTACCACAGGTCAGAAGCTCCGGTCTGATGGAGGTAATAATCTGGCCCTGGAGCGACTGGGGATAGGAGCACTTTGTATTTTTGACGACAATGTTTCGTTCCTTGATCCAGCGCAGCAGCCACAGAAGGTTGCAGTCGCACAGCAGGTACGGCGTCTGAAACTCTCTGAGAAGTGACAGATGTGGGAAAGAGAAAAAGAGAGAAAACACAGGTGAAAACGGTGACTTCATCATTCCGCACCGGTGATGTCACCTCTCAGCAGGACGGCTCCTCATCAAACTTACAGAGACTTCAGAGACAACAGGCTGTCAAAGGTCCCCTGAGCCAGCGATGAAAACATGTTCCCTGAAAGATTCCTGTTGAAAGAAAAGACATAAGACTTTACTTGTACATACATCTGTATTTTGGTGCTCTGCTACGTTTTAACACATACTATGCATTTTTATCCTTTTGTTTTTCTACTTTATTTGCTCTGAACTGAGGTTATACTATGTCTGAGTCCTTTGAAAGTTTGAAAACATCATATGATGTAACAGGACAACAAATCCAGTACATTCCTATACAATCTAGTTATGTGCCTCAAGGACAGTTAGTTCATTAATATGCACTGTTGTGACCAGAGAACGCACTGATGTTGATGACAAACGGACAAACCCAATAAACGTAAACAAAACTATTTTACAAAATTCATTAAACAACATTATATTCAGAATAGATCATACTACACACTGAAAAATTGTGCAAAACCGATTAATCAGGTCAAATAATAGTCATCTAACTAAATTCTTGTTAATATTGTGTTTTCTTCTGGTCAGATAACTTTGCTTTTTTATTAAATTGCAAAAAATGTCATGGTGAACAGCAGATATATTTTCAAAATGAAAGGTACTTACAGTTTTACTAGGTTGGTGAGCCCTTTAAAAATGTCGACATTTAGACATCCAATGCTGTTGTTGGACAGGTCTCTGTAACACACAAAATATTTTTATTACTTGTTATTCATATTATGATATCCATGTGTGACAAGTCTGTTAGGTCCCTTTCCAGCCAAAATTTATAGTATGAGAAAACAGATCACGTAGACACCGTTTTGAAAGTTTGACAGAGGCGAGCTGGAACGAGAAAGTAAAAATCTGCTGACAGCTCCACGACGTTCAAGGTGATTTTGGATCATGTGTGGGCCTCTGGGGATTCTGCACTTCAAAGCCAAGTGCAACAGAACAAGAGATTAATCCACCCTTTTCATTGTCATAAGTTTAAGTGCTTCTCCTATTTGTAAGACCTGACAAGATGCTTCTGGTAAATATTAGATCAAGTCTGCAGACACTTGAGACGTTTTATGAAAAATCACAGACATTTTAGGCCTTAGAGGGGCTGTACCCAATTTTTCTAAAGTGCCGTGAAGTATTTTTCCCCAAGTACAGATAGATAGTAAAGGCAACTCTTAGGGTCAATAGAAGACTACAAACTAGAAAGTAAGGTATGCTGTTAGCATGCCATTTATTGTAAGCATTACCATGACTTGGCCTCTGAAAGTTGTGAAATGTACTTAAACGCTAAAAATGCATTAGGAAAGTGAGGAAAAACTTTGGATCACCGCAAACTATTTAAAATTAAGTAGTTTTATTGTCACATTTTAAAATCAGGTACAGCTCCTTTAACTAGAAAAGACGTACAATATTTAGCAATAGTTTCAAATATCCACTGGAGACTCTTGGACAAATCTCTAGCGCCACTTTCACATCAGCGGTTTTCAAAGTCGCAGCTAATCTCATTTTAATTTCCTAACTATAACCCTGGATGTTAATAAAATTGTTCAACTTAATTAAAAATCGCAGGGTGTCCATTGCAGCCAAAATACCTTAATAAAAGTTGTAAATGATAGCCCTTTCAGAATGAGCTAATCACTTCAAAGTGCCAAGTGAGGAAACTAGAGGCGCTATGGAATGACACATCATTACCTCAGCCATCCTGCGGTATTGTAGAAATAAGATAGCTACACAAAACCTCACCTGGAAAATGTCTTATGGGCATATGCTAACATTCAAGCGTTTGTGTAATTATCAGTGCATGGTTCTTAAGGTACCAGCTGGGGTAGTTTACAGTAAAAATATGAGCTCCCCTTGGATGAGAAGAAAGATCTAGTTTTGCAGTTTTTTTTTCAATTTGCACTAGCATTGTGTGAGAGGAATAGAGGGAAAAGGAGGGGTAGACTAAGGCCCCCTCTTTACATGAGCCTTGCTTTTATTTCACAGTAATCAAATACCGCAGTTAAAGCGACAGTGGATCTGGACAAGACTGAAAAAACTAACTCAGAGGGACTGTGCTAAAATCATGTTAAAACAACACCTCCATAATCCCACATATTACAGCCCATATTTTCCATTTTCTTATTCTCAGGAGCCAGGCGGATTTAAACACTTTGCGAAAGATCATTCTTAAACACGCCTTCCCGCCATAGGCACACAGCAGATTAACAGAGCAGAGGGCAGAGCTCCAGTTGTTGTCTGAGTGTCCAGTCGACAGTAAGAGAGGCAGAGGCAAAAATAGCCTGATGTGATTAGATTCCTGTGAGGGACTGTTCAGCTGTTTTGGGAATGGGAAGTCAAAAGGGTGAGATATTTTTAACATTAACATTGACTACTTTTAGGGTGGGTTAATAATAAAGTTTGAAATTGATACAGTAATTGGCTTTTGTATAGCCGTTAAGTGGAGTTGTGTCAGGCGCATGTTTTTATTCTCTCTTTAGGGGTGTCAAAAGTATCAAAAATCTGATACTAATCGATATTAAAACTAGTATTGAAAGTAGTTACCCATTTTCACAGGACAGACATTAACCTTTTCTGAATAGCTTTAGAATTATCCTGAGGTGTATCAGTAAAACCACACCAACACTGTAGACAATTGAGGGATTACAGAGATACAAGGCCACATTTAATGCAGAAAATTGCATTCAATTGTCTAAATAAAGTGTGTGTGTGTTTTTTTTAATCATCATCGTGGTACTGGAATTGAGTATCCAGTCTACTCCTTCATATTGAAATAGTTTGAAACATTATTCTAAGTTATATACTAGGGGTGTAACGATATCCAAGTCTCACGATACCATATCGTCATGGTATGAACCTCACGATATAAGATACGACACGATATTTATTGCGATATTGTGGGGAGGCTCATGATTAGGGATGTAACAACATCCAAATCTCTCGGTACGATATTTTCACAATATACATCTCACGGTACGATATTTATTGCGATATTTTGTAGAGGCTAAAAAAACTATTAATATGCTACTTTTTTCTCTTAAAATGCCTTGCCAAGCCCAATCCAAAGAACTAAGACTTGAAAGTGCTTAGAACTGTTATTTCTATTATCTGTTACAGTCTAAATTGATATGGAGCAAAGGCTCATGGTCTATGTAGTTCTCTCTGGTCTTTTTTAGCTATTGCTATTGCACCATAACTCTTCATTTAAGCAAAGAGACTTGTAATTCGATATATTGTGATGGTCCACGATATTATTGTGAGAACTTTGATGATATGATATCATGATATTTTGGTTATTGTTACATCCCTAGTTGTTACCTTTAGTAATTTTGCTTTTATTAAACTTGTGAAATAATAAACACCAAATCACTCGTATCACTTGTTGCCCGATCATAGTTCAGACTTGAAGGGAAGACGATTATTCAGTTGTATTTCAATATGCATATGATTACCAAATACCTCAGCGTGGCTAGAACGTTGGTGTTTAGTCTCCCTATGCTGGCGTTTGATGAAAAGTTCTGTTTACATTCCCACAGTCAGGATTCCTTCTTTGTCTCTTTTCCTCCTCTCTTTCTTTGCACTCCTTTCATGGTCAAGACAAGAGGCAAGCAACCTTTGAAATTTACACAAATGGGGCCATAGTAAAAAAAAACACAAAAATAGCTTGCATACTACACGGGCAGCAGCAGTGTAAAATGTAGCTGAAATAAACGGTTGCCGTAAGAAAAGAACAAAGATCAGAATTAAATCAGCCTTAATAGTGATAGAAGTTTGAAACAGTATTTATCAGTTGTAGAAGTAGTTTTAATACTGTATTCCATAGTAAACGCTGTACTTGTAGTATTGTTGGAATACCAAGATTTCAGATTGGATTTTCAAATAAATGAAAAAGGCTCTGTACTCATTACCCATATTAATACTTCAATCATAATACATTTCTGTCCTATTTATGCATTTTTTTTCCAGTATTGATACCAGTTCAAATGTTTATCTCCTTTTGATACTAGATTTTGTGGACAGCCCCAGCTTGTAGTGTTGGTAAGTAGAAGTAAGAAGTAAGTACTTGCACTCCAGAGAATGTGCAGTAATTTGGCAGCAACTTGAACTTCAGTACAAACTTGAGTACTTCCTCTCCTTCAGATGTATAGACAGTCTTGAGTGTGGCATGAATACAAGATGAGGGGGAAGGTTTTACGTGTTTGAGCCAAAAATCTCTCTCTCCGCTGCAGCCGCCAAGCTCCAGTTTATGTTGGCACTGTGAGGTAATCCCAATTCATACCATGTTCCTCCTCTCTTACAGACAATTATCTATAGTTTCTGACCTCCTACGTGTGGATTCAATTTTTTATTTTTTTTTTAAACGATCTGCATATTTGTCCAGAGACGACATATAAAGCTATACAGTATATTCCAGTCATTTTTTTAGTGGTGTGTGAATGTACATAGGGCTTCATGGTGTCTGCTGAGGTCCCTGGCACTGGTCCAGACAAAACAAGGCAGTAGAAATAGATTGGTGTGAGACTGTACTCCCTTATAGACACTGGATACAAGCTGAACTGGTGTAGTCATGCGCAAAAACGTGAATATATGGATGGAAAGACAACTGCAATGATAAGTCATCGTCAAAAAGAAAGATAATGCGCTTAAAGTTGCCTAATGTTATTGATGGTACAACTACATAATGCAGCTTCCAATACCGCTAACAATATTGATGTTTCTATAATGCATGATTATTACTACAGCTGTTACTCTCTCGTTTTTGCTATTGAAGTTTAAAAGGAAACAATTAGGTGAAATTTACAAAGAAAGCCGAATAAGGAAAATTGTACATGTTAGTAAATTAATCAGTAACTTTTCAACTCAGCAAAATCAAGAAACAAATCACAATCTTTTTGAATTTGCAAACGTGCGATTAAAAATGTGGCAGATTTAGTCACTTAATTTCAGGCAATTAGCTTCTCAGTAATTACAGTGCAGACTTGAAATAGAGCGTTGGAAGAATTTGGATCTTTTGGATGTATTAAATAGGTCTGAAAAATCCCAGTGAAGCTTGCGTGCAAATGCCGAGTGTACAAAGAGTTTCAGAAGTCACATTAAGGGAGTTGGTTAAGCTGTAGAGGCCTTAATATACTTACAGTCTTTTGAGTGATGCCAATCCAAGGAAAGCTCCTGGTTCAATGTGACTGATCATGTTACTCCGCAGGTCCCTGTCAGAAGAAAAGAAGAAAATATTTAGGTCATGGCGGTTTAATAAAGAGAAAAATGAAAAAGAAAAAAGCCCCACAACTTTCAACCTTGTTTTCTATACTAAAGAACTGACTCATAATAATAAAAAACTATTTTTTTTTTTTCACAATAATGTACTTTTAAACATCATTTTCTCATCTAGTATGTTATAATGTTGTTTCTTCATCACAAGTATAACTGAAGCTGAGTTTTGTTTCATTCACACATGTTTAACAGGAAGTGCTGCTGTGTTTTTAAACTCCATACAAGTTCACTACAATCATTTGCATAATTTCAGCCCTAGCCCTCTACTGAACAAAAAAATAAAAGGTAGTTGTTGACCTTAAAACTACACTTCATGATACCATAAAGGTGAAACAGTATTTTGAGCTTTGGAGAAGTCTAATAATGCATGATTTCTCAAATCAAAATTGAATGAAACAAAACTATTCCAGGTATGTTTTTGAGGAGGTAATAACATTCTAACATGGCTTCCACTTCACATTACTACGTTTTGCATAATACAGGAACACAAAATATACATTGATTTAATAGTGCCTTTTAAGTAGACAATTCTAAAACATAATGAATGTCTAATTCTGTCCTATTTGTGTTTTTTTTCTCTCTGCATAATAGTTGAGTGAGTATATATGTTCTGGGTATTGACTTTTTGACAACCCTATTTTTAACCAGACACTCCTACACAAACATACTGCGTCAAAACTTTATACAGTTGACCTGTATTTTAACCATCCACATAGGTGATATTTAGTTTCTTGTTATACCTCAGTGATTTCATTGTAATGTACTAAACCCATTATACAACCCTACATACACCCAAAAGCAATTGAAAAGAAGTGGCCTTTGATATGTCAGACTATTTGAAGGAGGATTTACGCGCACACGCCCACACAGACACACAAACACGCGATCCGTCTCTCCCTGGAGGTTCAAAGGATTGCCGTCACAGGATTCCTGCGGTGCTCACCTGCGCTGGCACTGCCTAGTCACTCATTACACTGCAGTTCAAGAGGCTTTCTACCAACCACCTGAACCCACACAAAGCCTTCTGGGTAACTCTCCCCGTTTGATGTGGACGAGCTGTCATCTCACTGTGGCTATAGAGAACGCAGGCAGAAAAATCTATTGCTGGTCGGGACTTTTGATGTGCGCAACCAGATGAGAGAAAAATGAGAAGGCAGGGCGTTGAAAATTGTCCCTAAAAGATCCAGTGAGAGCTACTTTTGGAGTGTTTATTAGGAGCGCAAACATTTAGGTTGGAGCTTGTGGGCTTATTTTTATTCCCTCTGCCAAAGAGGTTAGGTTTTCAGTACTGTTGTTTGTCTCAACGTATGAGATATGACAGGAATACAAGAGTTGTCTTGGTAGAGCTTGGTACTAGGGCTGCATGACTGTTAAAAAAAATGCGATTTTCGATGTATGTATAAACTGCACAGGGTATACATCGTGAACAACTCCAGGAACATTAACATTTGAGAGACTGAAACATCAACTAATAAACTAATACAAGAATCACATGAATTTCATTTCCATATGTTTATAGAGTTCTAGCCTACATGTACAACAAGATTTTTTTATATAAACTGGACACTTTGTTCTTTGCAGAGGGCATTTGATTATCTAAATAAACGCAGCCTTCTTAGCAATTTAATAATTTTGCAAACTCAATTGCGATTTCAATTCAGTTGATGTACCAAGTATGACTCAATATTTAGGCTTGAATCCACAAAGTAACATGAAGTTTTAACAGAGAATAATATTCGCCGCTCAACTAACTCTTAACTCTAAAATAGACAGCAGCTAAATATTTTAAATCTTTTTGTACCACGCCATTCCCTCTCAAATGGTCACTATGGGGTTCTGCCTGAACTAATCACAATTTCCAAATTTACTTCTCTTCATTCTTATAGCGAGTTGGAAAAATCAAGTCCAAAAGATACAACTTAAAAGTGAAGAGTTCCAAGAATGGGGGTCAAGAACCAAGAAGGTGACCCAATTCCCAAAATAGTAAGGTAAATTCCTGAATATTCTTACGACACAAACCTTTCTAACAAATTACAGTACCTATTCATTTGAGACTTTGCATTCTTGAGAAAGCAGACACTACAGACATTATGCGAGCTCTGTTTTCCACAATAAGCATTCCACCACAGCAGTGGATTTAGCCAGGAATTAGCATGTGACAGTTGCCTAGCTTGGCTCTCCATTCCTATGAGCAGGAGTGAGATAATGGGGATTCTGTTGTGGCTTATTTCCAAGCAGGGACACCTTTGGCCCTTGACAAAACACAGCGGTCTCCACAGTTACTTTGCAATTTCACGCTGCGCTCTTGGATAGGCGAAATCGATTCTGGAGACCCCCTTCTTCGGCATGCACTCTCGGCCAGCTGCTGTCTCTGTGACTGCATATAGGCAAGTCTAAATGAGGCAGTCTTTCTTTGTGGACTCGAAAAGGGAATGAGTGGTGAAAGCAACAGGAAGGAGGGGGGGTGTCGGAGCCAAGATGGAGAGCCGTGCATAGACTTGTGCAGAATTTTGGACTTTGTAGAGAGAGGGAGAGTTTGGGGTGTGATTGAAGAAGGGGGAGGGGTGAGCAGGATGGTTTTGGGGAGGGTGAGGCACTAGCCCAAAAAACACAGGCTTGACACCTCTTGGCCTTGGTGGACTCATTACAATGACAAAGGCTGGCAGTCTAGCTCAAGCCAGCTTCCTTTGTGGAGCTGAAAAAGAAAAGGGCTATGGGGCAGTTTTTGGGGGTAAACGTGGTAGTAGTTCTGTAAAATGCTTTTGTCTTTCTCTTTGTAGAAGGATCAAAGCTTGACGTTTTATTCAGATTCAGCACAGTGTATGTTCTTCCTGAAGACATGTGGAGCAGATATCTGACTGTTTTTCAGACTAGGTCAGTAATGATAAAGAATATACTTGTAAATCAATGAGAGAGACATTTCCCAGCAATTAGAGATCGACCAATATGGTGGTTTCATGATCGATACAGATTATCTATAGGGACGATTGATTATTTTCCTCAAATTATGCAATTTAAACACATTTAGTGGAGTTCCCTCTTCCTATTAAAGTGTCAAGATAACGTTTTGTGCATATTTTTCAGGCAGCAAATCAACCAAAGACAATATCATACTTTGCTGGAGATTGAAGGCCAAAAGCTGACACATTAAAAGATCCAAATATCGATCTAATTCTATCTCAATCAAACGGCAAGAGAGATTTGGTCTAAATTGAGTTTTGCATATATGAAAACTCTATGTAGGTTTTCTAGTGGAGAACCTGCCACTTGCAACAAAACAGTGTAATTATTAATTCTCCTTACAATTCTATTCCAATGAGAGAAACAGGGAATTTACCCACAGAATTCCATACCAATGCAGTCATGTGTTGTCATAGCCTTGAGGAAACGCACCACCCTTCGTGCTCTGGTTATTTTATCTGCATGAATCCGCTGGGGCTGATAAATCATCCTGTAGTCCATGTGTGCAACCAATAAGCAACTTCCCACCACGTCCATGTCGGAAGGAAGTGTACGCGATGACAACCCTGACCTCAAGCGGGTGTCATATTGAAATAACATGTTAAACCAAAGCGGTGAGGCTGGGCCGGACCAATGCCTACACAGATAGTATCCCAGAATACTTTGCTGCGATTATGTCACCAGGCAGACAAACAAAATATTCCCCGCGGCTACACCTATAATTAGACTGTTCTCGGTGCATCTCTAGTGCTTCTCCAGCTTGTTAAGTGAGGGCAAGTACTATTAGGAAGTGTTTTGACCTAAATGTTCCACTGAGGAGGAGATAAACAGACGGTACAAAAGACAAACTGCAATTATTTAAAGGAGAGAGAGATTGTATAGTAGTTTTAACGACTGGGAGAGGCCCCAAAATCGCCTCCAGTTAAGGCTGCCACACACTAGAGGAGAATTTGTCCAATTTAGGCTGCAATTTGCTTCTCCCGGAGTTCGAGGAGGTATTGAGACTTTGTGTTTTCGTGTGCGATTTTGAAACCGCTATGCACCTCATGTGTGTGGTGTCAGTGCGATTCTGAGCAGCTCTGTGAGATCAGCAATGCTACAGTAACAGTCAATAAAAGAGCCTCAGGGGCATGGACACATGGAGATGCAAGATACAAACTCAGGAAATAGCGAAAAAAGATGTTATTACTCACCACTTGTAAAGATGTACATTTAACCTGCAGCATCTCATCCAAATTATCCTTAGAATTTGTCATGCGCAAATAATGACACCCATCCCACAAAACAGAGCTATTAATCCAGTTTAAAGCATTCTTTAAAAGTAAAAAGGCGAGTAGCTCCTCACATGTTTCTGTTTACTTCCAGGTAGCGTGCAGATTGAGGTGAAGCTGCAGATTCGCGATAGTGACTCTATTTCCTGTGTACTTTTCCGCCAACCTTCTATGCATTAAAATCCCTGTATCTGAAATATTGCACCACGTTTCAGAAATAATAATACAGTTTTGACTTGCGTCTAAACTAGATGTACAATGCTCTGATTTTTTGAACACTTCAGAGTCTCAAAGCGAATTGTTTTACTCTAGGCAGGAAACGGCAGATGCGAGGTGCGCTCACAACTTTATAGCCTGTGGTCTGCAGCCATATCCCATTGTGGTCTTTGTGATTGGAGATTTAAAATCTCATAAGATTCTCATGTTTGTGGTGTGCACTTTTTGTCACATGTTTAAAGATCGTTTAAAAATGAAAAATCCTATAGTGCGTGGCAACCTTTAGCCACATGTTAAATCAATGAAAATTTAACGATGCTAAATACTAAACTTCATTCAAAAGTATTCTGATACTACAACGTATTAAGAGTAGTAACCCAGCATCATATTGGGTTGTTCCATGGTTCTTTAGCAAGAACAAAACAAAAACAATTAAACTAGAAAGCATATAGTGAAATAAATAACTCATTGGTGAACTTGAAAATACAAAACAATACTTACAGTTTTTCCAATGAGGACAATCCATAGAAAGAGCCATTTCTGAGTTCTTGAATCTTGTTGTTGTTCATAATTCTGTGAAAACAATGAACAGAAAATGCATAAATACACACATTTTAGCTTGAGACAACAGACTGAATAGTGGCTTGAGCTTTGTAAGCAAGACAGCGAAGATTATAACATTAAGTCTTTCCTTGGCTACAATTTGACAGATTTCAATGTGTCATGCCACCGGGAAGAGAAGAGTTGAAATTGAGCCAGTAATGACTTGGACAGACTGCGCTGGGCACTCAACACCAGTAAGGATATTTTTCATATGGCTAATGGTTTTAAGCGCTTGGTTGTAGTAGGAAGGAAACTCAACTCCAAATTTGGCTGTGTCCAAATTTGACTTTTAATGCTTGCTAGTTAATCTAAGCCAAGATGTATTATTTTCAGTTGGGTTGCACAATATTAGAAAAACCTCTGATAATACCTATGGACAATCGCAATAACATAAAATCGAGTAAGCCTTACGCAGCTGTAGGAAATCCACAGTACAGTTTAATCCTAACAGGAAAAAACTCTTGGGAATTGTGGTTTGCATTTGTTGTTGGCCAGCAGTGAGGGGATGTGGTGGTGGGTGACATACACGCTGGTGGCACCCACAAACCAAGGCCACATTGGAGTCATTATGGGGTGTTGAGCAGTTCTTTATTACAGGGTTGGACAGCGGAGAATTGGAACTTGGCTCCCCGCTGGTCGAGGAGAGAGTGCACACAAACAGTTCCTGTGTTGCAGCCACCATTTTGCACATTTCCATATGTTGGGCCACGCCGATGTACGAGGGTGCGAATTCTGTCACTGCCAGAAAATATATGGTTACAAATGGGGGATTTACACTGAAAATTATTTGGCATGTCATGTTATAGTCCTGTCCAATCGTTCAAAAACAATATGGAAAACAGATTTATACTAAGGAAATATGGTCGACAACATTCAATTATATTAGCCTTAGGGATGTAACGATATCCAATTCTCTCGATACGATATTTTCACGATACAATATTTATTGCGATGTTTTATGTAGGCTAATAAAATTGTGAATATGCTGCTTTTCTCTCATCATAATCCAAATAATTAAGATTTAAAAGTGCTAAATAACCGTTATTTCAACATATAGATTGGACTGAAACAGTGCAAAGGATCATGGTCTATGTAGTTCCTTCTGTTTTTTTAACTATTGCAGCACCATAACAATGAATTTAAGCAAATGAACTTGTGATTCGATATATTGTGATGGCCCAAGATATTTTTGTGAGACTTTTGGCAACACAATATCACAAAATTTCGGTTATTGCAACATCCCTAATTAGTCTACTTGTATTAAAACTAAGTGCAAAACTGCCAATGTTTAATTTCAAATCACAAAACCCCACATCTAACCATTTAATTTTCCCATATAGGTTCTTAAGTCAGCTACAGTTCTCTAAATAATTGCTACTGAGGTAAGTCAGTCACAGTTCTGTCTATCATGGTTAAACACTGAGTGGATGTGATCAACGAGTGCACTGTACATAGCTTAACTTGTGACTCTGAAAGCCATAGAAGTAAATGTGTCTAATGGCATTCTCCAGGGAGTCATGAGTTCTTGACCTCTTTCAAACCTCATTTCAAACTTCATTGCATTCTTCAACTTCCTTCTTTCCCAAGAGCCTTCAATTTGGTAGAAGAGACCTCGACTAGGCAAGTTTTTTTTAAGCTTTCATCTTTTAATCAGTTTGTTTTGTATCACAACAAGAAATGTATGAATGTTTTTGTCTGGTTAGAGAATTTTATCAAATTTTGTGCCATTACAGAGTGAAAAGTCAAGATGCTGAGAATTTCTATCATTTACAACCATCAATATCAGTTTCAGTTGCTTCTTCTGTCTATTTGCAATCAGCTTAAGTCATAACTATAATTCTTGAGCAAACTCTGATTATTTGGCATACTTCTCTTGATGTGCAAATCATTCGTAGTTTTATTTCGAGATGGGATGAATATGGTATGAGTTATTCAACTGTAAACACATTCCTCAATAACACTCCCAAATATGGAAATACTTATTCGCTGAAATTCAGTTTGAGACCATTACAAATCCGTCTCCTCCCCTCTGGACATTTGTATTCTGCTTCCCCTGTCTGTCGTCTCTAACCCAAATGAGCGCGTCCACAGAATGTCTTGGGGCAACTCCTGAATAGGCTGTGGAAGAAGGGGGCAGCCGGGGCTTATCTTGATGCATAGATAAGAGCTGTTTGAGTTCAGGCCATGAGCGAGCTGCGGGGGAATCCTACTGTATATCCTGTCTCCTGATACACAAGCCATAAATCTCTCAGACATTTATGGAAAAGCTCCAGGTAAAACCGGAATATCTACTTGCGGTCGTAGCTAATAATATGAAATGTGATGGCCTAGATTTCCTATAGCTTGAAGAAGTCAGGGAATTTGACACAATGGTTCGTTTTCGGTGGGCGCCTCTAGCAAGTAATAGAGGTGAACTGAATGACCTGCCAAATATCCAAACAGAATTAAATGATCCCATTTTAGCTGGTCAAAAAAATGTCATGTGACCAAAGTTGTATAATAAACTATAGATTCTAAGCACTAGGGGAGTACAAACATATTGAAATATCGATATATTTTATTGCCTAATGTGATGATACAGTATCGATATCGTGGGCTGCTGTATCGATATATTGCTAAGAGTATTTTTGGTATATTTTACTCAGTTATTTTGTTACAGTGCTACAGTTTTGTTGCTTGTTTAAAAAAGGAAACTCGTTTTAGCAACACATTTGATTTTTTATGATAAAAATGGGTGTCTTTCATATTCACTTTGCACAAGAAATGGTTTAACAAAGATTTTTAGTATCACAGTTAGGGGTGTAACGATATCCATGTCTCACGACACGATATCGTCACGGTATGAACTTCATGGTATGATATTTACTGCGATATTGTGGGAAACCTCACGATATGGTGGGGAGTCTCACAATTAGAGATGTAACAATATCCAAATCTCTCAGTACGATATTTTCACGATATACATCTCACGGTCCGATATTTATTGTGATATTTTGTGGAGGCAAACAAAACTGTTAATATGCTACTTTTGCCTTTTAAAATGTCTTGACAAGACTTAATCCAAAGAACGAAGACTTAAAAGTGCTTAGAACGGTTATTTCTTCTTGTAGTCTACACTCAAATGGAGCAAAGGACCATGGTTTATGTAGTTCTCTATTACTGCACCATAACTCTTCATTTAAGCAAAGAGACTTGTAATTCGATATAGTGATGGTCCACGATATTATTGTGAGAACTTTGACGACACAGCATCACAATATTTTGGTTATTGTTACATCCCTAAATCACTGTCATTATTTATTTTATGGAACTGTATCGAATTGATTTGAAATATATCGTACTGAACCGAAAGTGCACTGTATCGAGGTTTGTATCGTATCGTGGCCTATGTATTGAGATATGTATCGAGGTATGTATTGTATCGGCAAGTTCTTAATGATACCTCGCCCTACTAAGCACCACCTTTCCTAATTTTTATTTAACAGAATCTACTGCATGTGGATCACAGCATAACATCTGCATAATTTGCTACTTTCTTTTGAGAATTAAGTAGAAAGTCTTCCACCATGATGTCACGCATAGAAGGGTATTTTCACAAAAGTAACTTCACAATTGCGATAAAAACAGATGAGAAATATTTTACTACTAAACCACATTACTCTGTCTTACCTCATGTCTGCAAAACTAAACTACATGTCTGGGATTAAGCAGGACTCAGGGGGGCACAGCAGAGCCCCGACAGGTCTGCTAAATTAAAGGCTCTGAACTGACTCATTCTACATCTGCCAGGGGCTCGCCTTTGGGATGTTGCCCTGTTCCGCAAACACTGCCAAACTACTCGGAAAAGCGCAGAGGCATTCCTTTTAGAGCCACGGTTTGGGAAGCAGCAAAAACAAATCCTCTTGTGGACATGCATGACAGCAGGCACCTGTGTTTTCCTTGTACTGGCTTTTCAGAGACGACACTTGCAGGTCAGGGAAAGTAAACAAATGAGATTATTGTCATTCCACAAGGATTTAATGCCATCTGAACATGTTTGGTTGGTTTGAGGGAATAAAAAAATACTACAGCATGGTTGTGGTAGACTAAATTGTAGCCACAGCCTCTGACCACCACCAATTACTCTCACAAACACACAAACACATACACAAACACTTTCATATTAGAAGAGGTGGGTGCAGAAAGACACAGCGACATGATGGATGAGTAAGTGGATGAGTGCTCTAACCACCTATCAGCCCCAAATTGGACAAAGGCACTAGGCGAGTAGTTTCTGTTTCATAGCAAGAAGGTCCCAGGTTATATGTGAAGTTTGCATGTTCACCTGCTTCTGCCAGGACAGAGTTCCCCCATCAACCAAAAACAAGCACAGCAGGCAACCATCCAGCTGTTTCCTGATCATGAACCTAATGAACACAGCTTATGATCTGGAAATGGGTCCACACTGCTTTTGTCCACCACATGTGACAGCTTGAACCAGCATCATTGAATGGTGGGGCACATGCAGATTTTTCCTTCTACGAAAAAGAATAGGACTCTATGCACAGCAAAATCATAGCGCTTAACCCACTGTCTAATTATTAATCTGTAATTATCTGACAAACCATTGAATAGCTAGGACTGTCACGATTAGAATATTTGAAGCACGGTATATTGCTACAGACATATGTGACAATAAACAATAACATTCAAACTACTTGATGCCACTGACACAATAACAATAAAGCAGGATAATCCCAGTAAACAAAATTTAAAATATACAGTATCATTAAAAAGACTGAGCTGCAACATGTAAATAGCAGAATTAACTAATAATTAGCAACAGAAGTTAGTTATTCAACCCTCTACAGCTCAAAACTTATTGTATTACAACAAAAATACCCCAAATCTCCCAACTACAGCAAAAAAAAAAAAAAAACCCACGATAAATATTGAGCCCAAAAATATATTGTGCAAGCTTTCATATATTGAAGGATACGTCAATATAGTAATCATCATGACATGCCTAATAGAAAAAACTTTCAGGATTCCATTTTAAGTCCAATGTGTCACTTAAGTAAACATGCGTTTCCTTGAGTGAGGGAAAGGAAATCCCTGCTTTCTCTCTGAGATTAATCCTGTGTTGCTTTCTCAGAGGCCAAACCAGGTGCTCTTGTCTCCAAACCAGGTGCTCCTCTGAATACAGCCCGATTACACCAAACAAACGCTGAAAGAAACATGAGCCCGGGAGGACAAAAAGCTTAACTACAGTCAGTTCCTGTCTATAGAGCAACGTGGAGGGGCACTCGAACAGGTAAACAGAAATAAACTTGTAATGTGACCCCAGTGATAGATGGTTTAGATAATGATAGACTTTTGAGTATTGTCTTAGCTATGGCAAAGAAAACATTTGAAACTTCCAGGATTCAACTAGTGCTCTGCACAATAAAATGTAAATTTCTTTAAAATTGGCAGCTAAAGTTTAATTGCTTTTTCAAGTTAAATCTGAAGCTAACAACAAACCACACTGTAAAAACATAACAGTGTAATTCTAAATAGAAATGCCATCAAGGTTAATGCAAGGACTCAAGTTTAGCCAACTGCTACAGTGGGAGGCCAGGGGCAGCTGTAAACACATTTGTGTCATTTCCTCTCAGATTACTAAGGCATGCAGTATCTTTGGGAGAGAACAAATGCAGGGAATGCACTTCATTTCTCTCCTGCCAGGTCAAACAAGACGTACATTCAGTGCTTTGAAAAATTATAGCTAGTCTTCTGTGCTCAAGATGAGGCACGATGAAACTTGGGATGAACCAACATTGGGTCCAAGAAAATGGAGATTTGTGGTTATGCTTCATATCTGGCAACAAGAAAGTGAATTACCCTAGTGGTTCAGTAAGTTCAGCGAAGGGGAGTATTTTTCAACACACGGCTCTTGTTCATGGATTAGTTCTATTTGATTCCAAAATGCCTCTAGAACATCTCAAGTAAAAACAGGTCTTGTATGACAGAAATTGACATTCACCATTAGGTTCACATAAACTATTCATTTTTTCCCCCTGCACACTAAGCTTGTGGTAGCTCTATTTCACAGTGGTGAAAAAATAAGTAATAATTTGCTCTCGGTGTAGTATAGTGAGCCATTTTATTGTATTTCTCAATAAGCCAAACTATGACCACCATGTTCTAGTTCAAGGAGGCACAGGCCATGGTCACCCCAGCACCAGAGCAGGAGGACATCATAAAACTAGGCCACCTGAGGGATTTTACAGGCTGTAAATTAACACCAAAACTGTCCCGCCAACATAAAGTGCTGTTGCATTGCCGTTCATGTCCACAGGGAAACTTAGGGGCCCAAAGATTGAGGGTGGCTGCCTTATCCAACAAAACATAAAGGCCAAGGTGGAGGCAGTGGAATCCTAAAGAAACTTTTTCTCTCTAATTACATCATCTTAAGTCTGGGGGGACCTCCACTCAACAAAGACTGCAAAAAAACACAGAACTGAATCAATTTTAAATCCATCACTGTCAGAAAGGCTCAGGGGGACAAAACATTTAGGTTTAAAAAGGAAAAAAAAAGTGCATTCCGTTCAATAATGTCAGACAAAGTTAAACCACTTCCAGTCTTATTCTTAGTCCTCCACCAGTGCCATCTTGCTTTGTTTAGTTAAAATCCTTTGCTTATTTCCGTTGGGCATTTGTCAGTAGCATTTTAGTAGCCAAGTTCATACTTACACAGTAGGTGGTCTTGCAGACATTTTTGGCCACAAGAACAGAAAATCTCTAAAAGTGAGCAATTGTACTACTTGTTTCTAAGTGGGTCAGACCTAGGCAAGTGTACAAAATACCAAAATATCTAGTTATGTGTGAAGCCTACCACAACAGGAAGGATATAGTTACGTGGGGTTTACATTTACAGTGTTCCAGTGTGCAGCTGTGGATGGATGATGGATGGCTGTCAAAGCACTGACAAGTTTAGCTTTGGGAAAGAAGGGTGCAAATAGATAGAAAACAAGTGTCAAACATGCTGGTAGACCTACATATTTGTATAGTTGGGGTTTTATTTTATTTTTGTTAACATGGGACAATTTACTACACTATCCTGGTGAGTATTGTATGGATTAGGGGTATGCAAAAATAATGAAATATCGACATTTCGTATCAGTCAATGTAATGATACAGTATCAATATTGTGAGCTGGTGTATCGATATATCGCCAATAGGGCTGGGTATCATTAAGAAGCTGCCGATACGATACATACCTCGATACACAGCCACGATACGATACATATCTTGATACAGTGCACTTTCAATTCGATACGATATATTTCACATCGATTCGATACAGTTCAGTAAAAAATAATGGCCAAGTCATGGCTGTGATAGGAAAAGTCTTTGTTAAATCACTTGTTGTGCAAGGGTAATAGAAAACATGCACATTTTAATCCTCACAACAGTGAAAATGTCAAATGTGTCTCATAAATGAGTTTCCTTCCTCTAAGCAAGCAACAAAAACGTAGTAAAATATACCAAAAATACTCTTGGCCATATATCGATACAGCAGCCTACGATAACGATACTCTATCGTCACATTAAACTATACAATATATTGACATTTCAAATTTTTTCTGCACACCCCTAATCGCCAAGAGCATTTTTTGGTATATTTGACTAAATTATTTTGTTACAGTGCTACAGTTTTGTTGCTTGTTCAGAGGAAGAAAACTAATTTATGAAACACACTTGACATTTTCACTGTTTTGATGATTAAAATGGGCTTTTTTCATATTAACTTTGCACAAGAAGTGGTTTTAACAAAGACTTTTAGTATCACAGCCATGATTTTGCCTTTATTTTTTGTAGAATCATATCAAATTGAATTGAAATATCGTATTGAATCGTATCGTAAGCTCACTGTATTGAGAGATGTATCGTATTGGCAACTTCTGAATGATACCCAGCCCAAGTATGGACTGACAATAAAAGTAATAGTGAACTGCAGAAAATGGTAGGTAAAAATATATCTTATAAGATGAAGCTAACCTATGATTATAGGCCTATATGCGTAATGCTGTGAGTGGATCTGACAGTGGACATTGAGAATTGGTCTTACTGTTGACTGGATGGATGTAACTGCATAATTTATTCTTACAAATCAGGGCCTGCAGATGGAAACTATCCATTTAGCAATAATCTGGTGCTGAACATCTGTTTTTTATGAGTTTAATGTGTCTGCAGGCTATATTGTCTCTTCAAATAAAGACTAAACTAAACAGAAGAGTGTCAGAGGTGAGCATGCATGTACTTAGAAACTTTGTGGCAGTGATTGATTGTGAGTGGGCTGCCAGTATAGTAGTAATGTAAACTCCAGTAATACTCACAGTGTGACCGTCCTGTTGGGGAAGGAGTCCGGCGGTAAGACCTGCTGCAGCTCCATGTTGCTGCACACCACTTTCCCACTGCTCTTGGAGCGTTCATCATATGATTTACAATCAGATGATAGAGCCGAGTCACCGGCGCCAACCAGCAGCAAACCCGCAAACAACTGCCACACAACCGCACTCATTTTCGCACGTGATAACAAACAATGGACAGCATTTAGAGACATTAACACTAAACGGAGCTAGTGGTTAGCTTTGGCACCGTGGCTTTGTTAGATAAACGTGTCCAAAAAGGTAGGCTCCAACACAAAAACAAACAAGATCATTCCCAGTGTCTTCGTCGTCCATTCTTGCCCAGCTTTGACCACACTCATGCTAGTCTTTGTTCGCCAAAAGCATCTACTGAGAATCGTTTTTCTATCTTTGGGCACTGCTGCAGTTGTTTTTAGTAATCCACAGAAAGCCGAGCGCAGTTCACGTCTGAATCAAGTTGTCCAGTTGTTGAGAGAGCTTCTTTGTTGGGAATAGCGTGGCTCCAGATCCCTCTCGTTTCTTTCACCAAACGCGTCTGAAATCTTAAGTATTTGTAAAAAAGATGGTGTACTCGTAGGTAGCATTTTAAAGACACATTTTCTTTCCCTGCACTTTGATTTATTAACACTACACGACGCCAGCAACTTTCCAGGGAACTAAACAGGAAATTACTCCAGGTCCAGAGGACGGGACGCAGCCGCTGAAACTACACGGGTAACTTAGTGAAGTGCTACAGCTAAACAAATCCAAAGTTGACGTTTTATGTTTCTTTTCCCCAAAATCCATTAGCTCCTCAGTGTTCATTGAGTAGTCCTCTTCCCATGGTCCTGCCCAGTCCTGCCCTATGGTCCTCGGAAGCCACTCTCCCCCAGTTGTTTTAACAAATCCAAATTCTTCAAATCCACTTCCGCTCTGTCCTTCACAATAAAAGCTCAGACTCGTAACTTTTGCCACATTCTGGAAACTGTAAACAGCATCTGAAGTACGATTATCTAAATGTGTACAAAATAGAGACCATATCTATATAATTTTGTTTATGTCAGTGTATTATATATTCATTTTGAACAACTTTCTAAACAATGTGAACTTTACTTCATCACACTTCCTGTTTTGAGCATCATGTGGTGCAATGTGTAGGACTTTATGGAGGCTAAATGGCCGGGTTGTACAACAGTTTACTACAAATCTACAACATTTTAATCGATAGAATAGACTCTAGGCTGTAAGTATGTTTCCTCGTGACTTTGCGTGGGGAGCAGCAACCGCAGCTTATCAGATTGAAGGTGTGTAAATACAAGTCTTGCAACACTTGTGCGACACCAAGAGAAGTATAGTTTACTTAACCTTTTTATGTTTAATTAGCTATAGGCTGTTGGTTCTTAGCGTATTATTATGTACTTGCCTAGTTGCACAAGCAGCATTACAAATAATACACATTAACACACAATGAGTATGCCTAAATTCCAAGTGTCTACATACTATACTAAACAAGTACTTCTACTCTAGAAGGAATATCCATATTCTCATCAGCTTCTATATTTCCCATTTTATCATTTGCATCTCCTTTCTCTTCATCCATAAATCTCCTCTTTTGACTTTCACTGTATTTTGCACCAACACCCACTCAATCATTCAAATAGTCATGTCTTGCCCTAGGACACAATGGCAGTTTGGCTTGAGTGGGATTCAAACTGCCAACCTTCCAGCTATAAGACTACCACTCTGCCACCTGAGCTAATGTCTGTGTGGAAAACTGGAAAAGGTTGCATGCAATCTTCTTAACTGCAGTACAAAGTCAATTAATGTACTCCAGGGACTCATTTAATAGTCCCAAATGTAAGCTTGATTTGTCTTTGTAATTATCCACCTCAATGAAACAATTTGCGTGTGTTAAGGTGGCTGGCAGGCAGATGGCAGGGGAGCGAGTATCTGGGACACGTTTAGTCACGGGACGGGCAGAGTGTTTGGGGATCACAGCGGAGATGTGGCCTGTAACAGCTATGAGCTCTGGGAGGAGGACCTCAAATGTATCCTGCAGCTTGGACTGACGCATTATCGTCTGTCCGTCTCCTGGGCCCGACTCCTGCCTGATGGGACCACTCAACATGTCAATCACAAAGGTATTTCTAAGTTCTGTTACTCATTTCAGTAGTTTACTCATTCTGTGCTGTGTCTGTGTAATTCTTGGCAGGAATGAAAATGCCATCTTCTAATGTAGTAAATAGAGATCAAGTGATTTTTCATGACTGATACCAATTTAGAATCCAGAAGAATTGAAGACTGATGACCTCTGTTGATATTTTAGGGCCGATAAGTAGTAGGCCGATTTTGGTAATGAACAGTATGAAGCCGATTTTTGTAATGAACAGTATGAACTCATCCGCAACCTTGTTTTACTACAAACTGTAGAGAGCAGTGTAGTCACATTTTTGCAGTAGTCTCTTGAGACTAAAGTGTTGAAAGAGTGTTCAGTGTAAAGTGTTCATGCATATTTAGGCAGCTAGTTGGGCTAAACAAAATATTGGCCTCTACTGTGGATTTAAGGCTAATAGCCAATACACTTAAAAGTGCAAATATCATCCCAATATACCGATATTTAGTAGTACATACTGAAAATGTGCTGTTTACCTGTAATAATGGTCAAAAGGGGTCAACACAACACTTATCTTAATCTCTATTAAGATATGCCTCAAAGATATTGATAATTATTTTTCATTTTATTACTATGAAGAAAAAAGTACTTCAGTACGATTGAAAAATTATATTTCACACTCCTCTCCTTTCTCATTTGCATGATACTTAAACTTCAAATACCTTTAAAGACACATTTTACCATTCACATTTCTGTTGAAATGCCCAAATATCCATTGTTGTCTGGATACTCCTACAAAATATGAAAATATAATTTTTTGTCAATATTGCCCACCCTTAGTCCAGATACATCATTCTACTTAGATTATTTTACATTTTTACATAACATTATTAAATTAACATAAAAGGTGCTCTATGCAACTTTACTGCCATTATGTGGAACATCAGGCAGAGCAATAACATCTCCATGAAGACAAGCAGGTGGTGAACCCTCGACCAAAAAAACTACACAGTACCCCTTTAAACTTGACAATTTGCTCCATCCTCCTCAGATTCATATAATAAGCACATAATCTATTTCTTATCCATCTCCAGGTGTGCAGTACTACAATAAGGTGATTGATGATTTACTTGCTGCTCACGTGTCACCAGTAGTCACTCTTTACCACTTCGACCTGCCTCAAGCTCTACAAGACCAGGGCGGCTGGAAATCATCAAACATTGCCTCATTTTTCAACAGCTATGCCCAGTTTTGCTTCCAGACATTTGGCGATCGTGTTAAACTTTGGATCACAATCAATGAGCCATACGTGTGTGCCAAACTTGGGCATGAAGATGGTATTCACGCTCCAGGATTGAAAGAACCGGGGGTAGCTGCTTATCTAGTGGGCCACAACATGCTAAGGGCCCATGCTTTGGCTTGGCATAGCTATGACAAGATCTTCAGGCCAAAGCAGAAAGGATTGGTCTCTCTTGCTCTCAATAGTGATTGGTTAGAGGCATTAGATCCAGACTGTGCAGAGGATATCGCCGCCACACAACGCCATTTTGCTTTTACGCTTGGCTGGTTCGCATCCCCTGTCTTTGTGACCGGGGACTATCCAGAAGTAATGAGAACTGTTATTGAAGCTAACAGCCAAAAATACGGTTACACTGGTGAATCACGGCTGCCATTTTTCTCCAAAGACGAACCTGCAATTTTGGGGACAGCAGATTTTTTTGCTCTCAACTATTACACTTCACGCAAAGTTACATCAGCAAGTGGTCTTTTTGATAAACTGAGTATGAAAAGTGATCAAGATGTACAGGACGTCTTGGATCCATCATGGCCGATCTCTGGAGTGTCCTGGCTTGCAGTGGTGCCTGATGGGTTAAGGAAACTTCTCAACTACATCAAGGTGAACACTATACATCAATGCTGAATAGTCTTTAGGCCATTGAAAATTTAAATAAAATACTTGAGGTCTTGTTGGACATTTTGGATATTAATTTGAGTGGCTTTGTTTTAACTTTTAAATTGGTTATTGCTTAGTATGTTTTACGGGTTTCAAAATATTTTTTAGTTTGCCAATGATGAAGAAAAATAAAGAAGAAACTAGGTCTATTAAATAAATATACATTAACCAGTAAGAACTACAAAAGAAATCATGATAATTATCCTGGATTTAAAATGTTTTAAACTAACCTAGAAACCTATTTCTGCAGTTTTTTTCAGTTCTGCAGAATCATTATTTATCAAAAGGCTCAAAAAGGTTGCCTGCATATCATAGAATGTTATAATGTTATGCATGATTGTGTTTTACAAATAGTTCAAAACCGCCTAAAAGAAAAAGTCAAACCAAAACCACTTTATTTGACAAATTCATTCTCTTTAAAAGTCTCTCTCTCACCCACAGTTAAACTACATTGATCGATAGGAAGATGCATTGCCTTCAGCTAAATGAGCAAAACACCTGACATTTGTTTAGCATCTCGCATTGATTTTGTATGCGGCAAACACCTTTTTAACACCCCCAAAAACACACTGATGCTTCATTAGTGCTGTCACATTGAATGAAATAGTTACTTTGCTGAAAAGTGTTTTGCAAACGACCAATTTCCTGCTGTTGTGCCTTGTCACAGCCCATTACCTCGAGCTCGCCACCGTTGAATCGGAGCTAAATGGCACACTGTAGACCAATCTTTCTTTCCGTAGGAGGTGGCAGGTGAGGTGATATGCCTTGTTTGTTGATAACATTTGTCCCACTGATTTATTTTCAGAAAAACTTTGGCGATCCGGCCATCCACATTACGGAGAACGGGTTTGCTCAGGTGGGGCAGTTACAGATGGAGGACGTTCAGCGGGCTGAGTTTTACAAGCAAACTATCAGCGAGGTGGCGAAAGGTAAATAAGTTTAATCAGTGCCCAATCAGTGTTATGAGAATGTGCTTATGCTTAGTGAGAGTACAGACAGTGAAGCAAAATTATATCACCACTGATGTGTGACCTGCTTCAGTGCTACCTGGGAAGTACATTAGGACTGCAAAGCTAATCAAATGTTTGCTGTACACTTTACTTTGCAATTGTTTACTGAAATTATCATCGCGTAATCATCATGTAATCTCTCAGTCGTGCAGGTGGGATCCATAGCAAAAGGAAAATTCAGTTCTGTCATCTGGACAAAAGTTTTAGAGTGAAGACATTTCACCACTCCTTCAAATGACTTCTTAAGTTCTGGTTAGATTTCTGGAGGACAATGACTTAGAGGGGGAGTTATCTATACCAAAAGTAACAGGTGTGTTAGTTTCAGTGTATCTGCAATCTGAGCGGAAACAGCTTGGGTGAGCAGCGAAACGTCTTTACACTAAAACGTTTGTCCAGTTGGCAGAATTTGAATTTTTCTTTCACTATCATCACCAAATGTATCCATCAATTAATTAGTTGTTATCCAGACTCTTAACATTTTCTAAAGCAAGTTATGTGCTGAGAGCATAGGATTTACTACCTGATACAGGGAGGTAGTCAAAATGACACTACATGTTAAATACAATGTCCGTATCATTTTAGGTGCACAAGACTTCACAATAATAATAATCATAAAAACATAATAAAATGATTCTGCCAACATATTGTGTGCCTTTCAGCTATCACAGAAGATGGCGTCAATGTCCGTGGGTATTTTGCCTGGTCGCTAATGGACAATTTCGAATGGGCCGACGGGTACAGTGCAAGATTTGGACTGTTTCATGTTGACTTTTCAGATGAGAAGCGCACACGTACCATTTACCACTC